GATAAGTGAGACAATTTATTTATAACAATGCCAATGGCGACAGCGAAGCACACATAATATAAATCCTAATGTGGTCGCCCGACTTCCCTCATGATTTGAAGTTTGAGACTGGTTTTCTGTTGAAATTCGTCCTAATTTGCCTGTTCCGATTTTAGTTGAAAATGGGCACTTGCAAATTTGGCAATTACTGACTGCGTTGCTTGCTTTTTTGGAGTTAAAACGCAGCCATTTACACATTGTTTATTAGTGTTCTGAATAAGCAGAGAAAACCCAGCAACATTTTAATGCGAGTTTGTTTGTTAATATTTGGGTGCTGTCATTGGTTCTTTTTTGACAATTGACGCGCGAATGGGGCGTGTTATGAAAAGGGGCGTATTTCAAAATACCGGGCGATGGTTGCAGGCCCACTATCAAGTTCCCTTGGGCCTGCACGCAGGCTACAGCAATACAGACGCTGACAGTTTATCCAGGTTGCCTGGATACTTCGAAGAGTATATGGAATCGTGTACCCAAACAATATCGCAGAAAGAACTTGATACGTCCATCACTTCTATCTGTGCCCTTGGCAAAGGGGATGCAATTTGGCTCACTTCCTTCACCACAGATGAAAACATGTTGGGTGACGACGGGGCTTTCCTTCCTTCTAATGCCAGTTGTTGTCAAATCAGAGTAATTGACATAGCACGAGAACAAGACAACGATCAAGACGTCAAACGTGTAAAAGAGTTTATCCGATCTCAACAAATTCCAACACCTAAAGAGCGAAAATGTGAGACACCCGAGGTGAAACGATTTCTGTTCGAATTAGCAAAACTCCGAATTGACCCTAGTTCTGGTATTCTATTCCACCGATCACAAGTAGTTCTACCAAAAAAGATGCGCCGTAGAGTGTACAAGGAACTGCACGAAGACATGGGGCATCTTGGATTGGAAAGGGTTCTTGCTCTTACCAGAGAGCGTTTTTACTGGCCGTATATGAGACGAGATATAGAACATTTTGTTACTCGTGTTTGCCACTGTTTAAAGAACAAGCGTCCCACACTTCCAACCCGTGAACCCCTCCATCCCATAGTTACGACTTCTCCCTTTCAACTGATTGCCATCGACTATGTTCACCTTGAGCGCAGTTCTGGAGGCTATGAGTACATTTTAGTGATCGTGGATCATTTTACTAGATACGCTCAAGCATATGCCACGAAAAACAAATCAGGTGCAACCGCTGCGGAGAAGATTTTTAATGACTTTGTTCCAAGATTCGGCTTCCCGGAGAAGATCCACCATGATATGGGTAAAGAGTTCGAAAACAACCTATTCAAGCAACTAGAGAAATTGTCTGGGGTACGTCATTCCAGAACCACCCCTTATCATCCTCAGGGGAATGGTCAAGTCGAGCGAATGAATAGAACTTTGCTTGGAATGCTGCGGACTCTGCCAGAAGCTCACAAGACAAAGTGGAAAGACCATCTGTCTAAACTTGTCCATGCATATAATTGTACTCGCCACAAAGCCACCGGCTACGCTCTTTTCTTTCTCCTGTTTGGCCGCTCTCCACGACTACCCATTGATCTAGCGTTCAACCTGAGAGATAAAGATGGTACCACCACCTATTCCCAGTATGTCTCGAAGTGGCAAACAGCAATGAAGGAAGCATACGCCAAGGCTTCCAACCTAGCATCGAAGAACGCCTCGCGAGGTAAAAAGCAGTACGACAAGAAAGTCCGATCGACAGTTCTTCAACCTGGAGACCGGGTCTTAGTACGGAATTTGACACCAAGAGGAGGCCCGGGGAAGTTGCGGTCTTTCTGGGAGGATGAGGTACACGTTGTATTATCAAGGAAAGGCCCAGACAGCCCCGTATATGACGTCCAATCGGAGTCCAAGAAGAAACCTCGTACGTTACATCGCAATATGCTACTCCCCTGTGATTACTTGTCTACCGAATTGGCCGTGGCAGCGCCTAGACAACGTCGCGACCAGGATCGTTTATCTACCCATAACACATCTATTGATGACAGTTCATCAGATGACGAGGAAGAGTACCCTTCAGTTTCACATCGCATGCCATTAACTGCCGACTCGAAGCACGATGTATCCGATGGAGAACAATCGCTGGAGCTACCAGTGCAGGTCGAAGACAACGTATCAGACGAGTTACAGCCGGATAATCGGAGTGGTAATATCCTACCCACTGAAGGCGAACCTGAGGAACCTTTCGAGATACAAGGAGAAACAACTGAAGAAATTTCGGAACAGCAGGATGAACATGTACCTGTATCTGATGGGGGGCAGGAAGCCCTTCCTCCTACTAATAGCCCTCCACCAAGAAATCGACAAGCTCCACAACGACTCACCTACTACGCTCCAGGACATTCGGCCTGTTGTTATTGTGGAGCAGTGATGCTGCCATTCAACCATCGAACATCCCAATCCCCTTACCTTCCACCAGAGAGACAACCTTACCGCCAAACTCTGCTGCAACCCTGCGAAGTCCCACAACCCTTCCAAATGTCCGCACCTTTCCAAATACCACCACCTTTCCAAATACCACCACCTTTCCAAATACCACCACCTTTCCAAATACCACCATCTTTCCAAATACCACCACCTTTCCCAATATTACCAACATATCAGATCCCACAACCCTACCAACTCCCATAACCTGAGGATGGCAACTATCCCACATTCCCACTTCGATAGAATAGTGACAATGAGTTAATTAAGTTTATTTTGTTAAAATGAAAACAACATTTGGTTTAGATTCACTTGTAAAGATTTTATAATCCTCGTAGAAGTACTGAAGATACTTTGAAATCAGTTACAGGACAAGAAAAGAAAAGAAAAGAAGAAAACAAAAGATTTGACATTGGGAGGGCTTGATCAACCCAACCATTGTTTTGAAGGAACAGAACAAACGTCAGAACTGTTATAAGTAGTATAGTAAAGAACTGATTTAAACAGACTCTCCGTGTTAGGTGAATCAAAATGTCAAGGATGCCATTTATTTCAGGAGGGGGAGAGTGTTAGATGAATAACTTAGGTTTACACGAAGTAGAGCATTGACGGTCAAGTTGATCGCGGCGCATGTAGAGAAACGGCATGGCTTTTGTATGTTAAAATATAGAATGGTTTTGAGCTAGTTTTAAAACGAAAAGCACTATTAAAGTGAACTAAGTCAACGTTTAAATATAAAATATATCGAAAGAAGAACCCGTGTAACATTATCATTGCACTGAACACGAGTTTGCACCGTTGTGCCAGACAGTAAACGGTACGCGTTGGCTACCTCCTTGCTTTTTTATTCTATTGCATATTAAAGCTTGTTGATCTCCTCGCGTCTTTCTTGTTTAAATTAAATAAAGAGCTCTGATTCAACTGATTTCTTTAGTCTCACAAGTTATTTTCTTCGTATTACGCCATACAAACACCTGCTTCTGTTTAATTGCTGCCGAAGGCAGCACACTATTCTTGACGATGTGTTTTTCTTGCACCAGTCCATTTCCGGCGAGTTATGTTAATCCAACAAGTCATTTTTAGGATGTTTGTACGGATGATCAGATTTATGACGTATTTTGACGTCACAGAAATTTTACTGTAAAAATAACATACTCCAGATCTCGTTTGACTTTCCGAATAGCCTGGTTGAACCTCGCGAACACCACCATGGATCATGACAATTTGTAAACACGTTTTAATACATGTATTTCTGGACTATGTCTATGACTGTTTGTCGAAATATTTTTCAAGGTAAGATGAAAGTTTGATCACAAATAACAGTGTGTTTTGGTCGATACGCGTTGAAGCTTTAAGAAAATGAATTAACTGTATTTAAATTATTAAATTTTTAGGTGTATACAAGCCTTCATATCAGGGGCGCCGGAGCCACGGGGGCAGCGGGGACAGCTGCCCCCGTTGCCTAAACAGTGCGGGGGCAGCACGGGGGCAGCAGGTTGCCTTTTTACCAGAACTGCACTTCGAACGTCGTGCGTTTTTCACATGAATTGAAATTGAAAACTGTTTTTAAACAATTTAGCTCATATTTGAATCTGAATTCCTCTCAGAAACGTTACCAATCAGTTTCCACCTATGAAAAAAATGGAAAAAGAAAGCCTTCCTAAATAACTGACAACTGTCATGTTGCTTTACAATACATTTTAGTCTTTAGTGTCATGCAACGAATAAAAATGTTCCAATCCATGCCGAAATTTGTCTAACTGTATTAGCTGCAAGTAATGAAGTATCCGTTATACAGCAAAATGTTAACGAACATTGCCCCTCCCCCGCCTCAAAAAAAAAATTAAGGCTCAAGAGTAAGTGCCCTTTTTAAATGGCTGCTCCCGCCGCTTCATGTTGCTTCCGGCGCCCCTGCTTCATATATTAAACAAGTGGAGCTCGTCGATTGTCAGTTTGTAAAAAATCTGATTGAGCTTGATCATAGGCTTGACCGTCTTGATAGAACATCGTACTTCAAGGTATAAATAATCACAGTGTCTAGTGATAGTTTATTATTAATATTGTTATTATGAGAATATCAATTGAGCAGTATCGTGCCCGCATTGAAACACACAAATTATATACGGATGAAAACTTATCAAACTTAATTGTACAAAGGTATTCCTATAGCAACCTGTATAAATAAGTTATTCAACCGACTTTTGCAAAAAGTATAATGGTCTGTAAGAATATATTTCTGAGATATGTCCATTATTAATAACATAATAGGAAATAATCCTACCGAGTACCGGCCTACATTTATATTTATTATACACTCACGCGCACTTAACCAATCAGTAATCGTTGAGAAGGTCACGTGCCGATCCAATATTTTACGATATTGGACAGGAACCTATTGGACAGTTGCGAATCGTGGCTATTTTCATAGTTTTTTAAGCCTTTTCAGGAGTTTTGTCAATTTCGAACATACGACAAGCGATATGGCAGACTAATGAAAAGAATTTGGGACATTAATATAGTTTTTTCTACCAGTTTTGTTCAAAATTATAAAAGCGCGGGAAAACTCGTCGTTGCAACCGCCTCGAGGTTAGTAATATTATTTTTGTCGTCATAATTAGGTCAAATTTCCATTAAAAATACATGGAATTGAGTTTCTTTTATGCAGACATATTTGTAAAAACAAGTTTAATAACTTTATGTTTAGTTATTTAAGCAAAAAAGGCTAATGTTGTCGCTGTATTCTCGCTGTATTACTTTATCGCTTATTCACAATTTTTTGTTATGGAGTTATTTTGTTCGATATAATAAAACACTTATTGGATTCATCTTCGCCCAATATGGCAAAATATTAAGTCTCGACTTCAATACCAGGCTCGACCTTCGATCTCGCCCAATATTGTAGTCTCGGGCTCAGAAGAATCCAATAAGATATAATATTTGCCTGGCTGTGTCACCACAGCTGCCTCGTCCCTTGTCGCTTCAGTTGGGAATAGAGATCAGTGGAAAAACAATGGGAGCGCGGCGCTTAATGGAAATCGCGACCGCGAGTACGGATGAGGGACTGTGGAAGAGCCGGTCACCACAGTACAGGGTATACTATATTTTTTGATAACGCCCACAATTTCTTGTATTATATAGTTTAGCAGTTCTGACTGAGTACAATCTTAATCATTACAAATGAATGGTGTCATTAGAAGCTGACATACGAACCAAAACTGTCAACAAATAGCAGATTGTTCAGTTGTTTTGCAATAGGGGTAGCCTTAAAGGTGCCATTAAAACGATAATCGGGACAAAAACTGTCTTAATATTTCTATATATATGAAATTGTTATTAAATTCTACCTGTCCAATGATTCATTCATTAGTTATCAGTTAGAGCACTGCACCGGAATCGCAGGGCCGTAGGTTCAATTCCTACCAGAGGACTTTGTGCTGCATTTTCGCAGTCGTTCCTGGTCAGGTCTTAAAATGTATATATATTCACTTGGATTACAAACCCTAACATTTTAATATTAATTCCACCAAGTGAAGTGCAAGTAATCAAATAATTGAAGTCCACCTTATCACAACCCGCACACCCGATTACCTATATCACACATGAACTTACGGTTACAGCTTAACAGCTGGCCTCTGTAGCTCAGTTGGTTAGAGCGCTGCACCAGAATAGCAAGGCCGTAGGTTCAATTCCTACCAGAGGACCTTGTGCTGCGTTTTTCGCAGTCGTTCCTGGTCAGCTCTTAAAATGTATATATATTCACTTGGATTACAAACCCAAACATTCTAATATTAATTCCACCAAGTGAAGTGCAAGTAACCAACTAATTGAAGTCCGCCTTATATGTAAACAGTTGTAGTTCTTTACCAGCTTTAAGTCCAGTGTTAAAAAAAGGTTTGTTGTGTTTGATAAGCAGTGCTTCAAGAAAAGCAAGAATGTTAGAAGAGTTGTCAGAAGGCGAAGGAAGATCGTTGAGCAATGTGAACTGGTCTTGTAAAGTAACTAAGAATTGACCATGTTCGCACTCAGAAAAATGTTGGCCCACTGCACTAGAAAAGAGCTAGTTGCATGCTCTCTCAAACGTACAGAAAGGCATCTTTGTGTCATGCCAATATAGGTTTTTCCACAACCAGGGCAAGCGACCTCGTATACAAGATTATTACGAGATAAAGGAGGAAGTGTATCTTTGTATTTTATTACGACATGATTCTTTTAAAATTATGTCTTAATAAAATAAAAAATTTCCTTCTAAACCTGTTAAGTTCATCACTATTTATGATACTAAAAACTCTCTTAGTTTGTTTCCAACAAAGATAAACTTTCTCCAATATCTCGTAGTAATCTTGTGAGGTCGCTTGCCCTGGTTGTGAACATGCTCAATTCTAAGCTACTTTACAAGACCAGTTCACTATACTCAACTATCTTCCTTTGCATTCTGACAACTCTTCTCCTATTGAAAACCTTGTTTTCAATAGCCACAGCATACTTCACATTACCAAATCTAATAACCACAATATTCTTGCTTCTCTTGAAGCACTGCTTATCAAACACAACAAACCTTTTCTTAACACTGGACTTAAAGCTAGTAAAGAACTACAACTGTTCACATAACACTTTAACTTAATCTTCTTCTAGGCCTACTTGTCTGGTCTTTCCTTTCTACCTTAATCCTTTTAATAAATGAAACATTGTTGTAAATATAGCTAAATAATCCATTTTCAGTTTTTACTATATTTTCTTTATCATGTTTCGCTTTGCTTGGATAATCCTTCTTTCCACCCACATGACGAATGCTCTCTCCCTACGCGTTGTATATGTTTGTCTGAAGATGACTTTGAAATAAAGTCGAAAATTTACAGTCTCAACCTGCGTGTTGTTTTGAATCATAGGCCCTATATTGGATTCTCAAGATGTCTTGTCTTTTCGGAATTTGTGTTTTGCTGTATTATAATTCTACAAGTCTTGCCTTTGAAATTTCGAAACTACATTGCAATGCCAATGATAGTTAATTAATTAAAGTGCGGAAACAGGAAAGGTTGACATTAGCAATCATTGTTGCATGATAGTTGCTGGCTATCATTGCTCATGCTCAGGCTTGCCCATGATGTTTAGCATCTTTCTAGCATATATATATTCAGTCAATACTGTGGATGTTATAATGAAAAAACTAAAAAGTCCTGAGGCGTTTTGTGCCTAAGATAACTTACAATGGTCTTTTCATTATCTAAATTTTGCTCCAGTTCCTTGATTTTATCCAAATTTAACTTGTTCTTCTCGTTAGTTTCTTGTAGAATCTAAAACATACAAAAGGACTAAAGGCAGATTTGGGAAAGACAACAAATCGTTGCCATTAATGAGTTACAGAGAAGCCCGGAATTTTACTGGTATCCCTTTACTAAAAGCAAGGAGAGAAACATTATGTGAACAATTTCTTAAAAAGGATGAGAATAACGATAAACTAAGCGAACTATTGCATCATAAAGCAACAGTCGACTACGATATGCGACCAAGATGCAAGTATAACAATTATCTATGTAGAACTGAACGTTTTAGGAAATCGTTTTTTCCTCAAATTATTTCCAAAGAAAACAGTAAATAACTTAGTAGAAGTATAGGCCTATTGTTTTTGCTACTTTTGAACTCTTAATATTCTTAATTATGTAATATAACGATAACTTAATACTTTTTAACAGTAGATACAAATTTTGTAAATTTCTGATGTAATTTAACCTATTGGTTACAAAATCAATTTTTAAATATATTATTAAATAAAATAAAAAATAAACTGTAAAAAAAATGAATGTTTAAACGACAAAAACAATTCAATAAACCCAGAGCGAAAGAAAAGCAAACAAATCGATTACTAATTTCAAATTCTGCATGCTCAGAGTTTCATGTCTCCCCATCAATTTTATTCTGTGCATTTTTAATATCCAGCATTATAGGAATAAATCAATTTTATTCTGTGACTTTTTATAAATATTTAGTTTACCCACAATAAAATGAAAGAAATTTGAAACCCTTCCCTTTAAAAACATACCTATTTAATTTAATTTAATTGGCCAGTATATTGGGTACTTTGCCCATTTTTTACGACTCTATATGTTTAGTCAAATATTTCCTTACACATTTATATTCTATTTAAAATTGTATATACAGTTTAAAGTATATTTAGTTTGGATTTAATCTTTATGTATTTTGATTAGTTTATATATTTTGAAAAGTTCAACAAAATTCAATAATAATACTGTATGTCAATCAACAAAGATAAACTGTCCAATTATATTTGATTTGATAAAGTCTATAGTTGTACCTTGTTCTCTGGGGCCAAAACATTCCATGTATTGTTTGATCTTATATAGAGTTCTTGTTTGTCCTTGCGGTATTCCAGTAATCCATCAATTTCCGGCACTTTCTGCGCAGCCGAAAAGTCTGGTACGACAACAATCTTAAATGGATTAAAAATGTGTTAGGAAATATTTTATAACACGTGTCAGTTGTATTTTTTGAGAACGTATTCAATAGGACAGGTTTTCAAATGTAAACTGGACATTCTAAAAGCGCAGAGTAAACTTGATTTATTCCTAAAAATAAATCCGAACTCACCCCATCGTGCAAAAGAGTGGAGGCTTTATTGCATCTACCCTGAAATATAAAGGAAAATCATTGTAGGGTTATCATGTGCGTAAAATAAGTTTCAATTATATACCCTTTTCTTTTGCCAGTTAGATAATAATAATCAATAATTGACCGTACAGTTTCTTTACCTCAACAGGCATAACACTGTGTCCGACCAACTTATATGAGATTAATTTTCCATCATCTCTCTTCAGTTGATAATCCATACATTTTTTCCAGAGTCTCTTGGGAAGACTGGATCTCACCCAAAACCACGTAAACACGTGCTTTGTGACAGTACCACCATTAATGGCTTTACAATTTCCAGCACAGTACTCTTTTCTACCACCCAGTGGACCGTAGCAGCCACAACACTAATTTTACAAACAAATTTTTTTTATAGAAATATTAATATATTTGGGTAAAAAGTCTTTCCTTTTTTCTCGTGGTAAAAACCGCCCGCTCCTGCATGCAGCCAATCAAATTTCAGGGAATAAAAAATATCACTAAACATGCAAAAAAAAATACTAAATATTTATTATTTAAAGTAATAAATATAATTATTATATATCAATAGTCAAAGTCGCATTTTTCTAGTGTTTTATTGGTTGAGAGCATATCACGTGAGAGTGACGAAATTAGACTGTTTCCCTCGCAACAGCGCGATCGAGAGGGAAACAATACGTTATCGGCCGGCGAATAACAAAAAAAATCACGTGCGTCATCACGTGAAGATGCGACCTTTGGACATGCCTAGTAATTAAAACTTTCGCTTTAACTGAACTGCAGTGCTTATAATTTAACGTTTTAACAATAAAATATTTCATGTATTTACGTTCATGTGTTCTTTAATTTGTTGTTTCTTTGACTATTGATATATAATACATCGACG